TCAATATATGTTTATTAAATTAATTTATATTTCAGCAAAGTTACTTCCTAGTAAGATTCTATTGGCTCTTTAAAAAATAATGATTATTAACGATAATATTTTTTCTCATTTAATGGATAAAATTGCAAGCTTAAATATTATAGTCGAACATCATATTAATTTATCGATTTAAGTTTGTACTGAGATAAATATATTAATATTGTAACATCTATGTTCAGACTGTTTTGATTTAATTTTTTTAGTGAAATTTTAAAATATTATATTTATAAAATAAATTAGTCTGAAAGATGTTATTATTATGTCAGTAAAATTGTGGTTTGGAATTAAATTAAACCGCAAGAAATGATTTATTCTTGTTTGGTTCGGAAAAAAAGAAATGATTTTGTTTGTTTTGTAATTTTTTAAATAGCTTATTTTGAAAATAATTCATAATTCGTTCAAATTGAATCGTGTTCATCTCTATATTATATCAATATTGGCTTTCTATGTAATCGTCAATTTGGAACGTGCGTGACAGATTCGTAAACTTTTAAAAAATATATTCAATTTCAATGAACCAATACAAGTACCAATACATCCCATAAATTTTAATTTTTAAAAGGAAAAATTGCAGTCACGGTACCAAACATTTCATTTAGTAGTAAACTTTACCCAAACCTTTCATTTGTACCATCTACAATATCAAACATTTCAAAAACGCTCACCTAGAGTCCAATGCATATTTTCTGTTAGTTTGACCGTTAATTGATCTGAGAATTGACCTTGACCATAATTTTGAATAATTTTAAAATGTTAACATGATTACTTTACATTTTTTTTCAACAAAAATCACAATTATAATATATTAATAATGAAATTAAAAAAAACATAAATCAAAGAAAAAAAAGGTTTTCTTCTTCTTCCCCCATCCCCATCCCCATCCGTCCATACAAAATTCAAAAGCCATTGCCGCTGCCATCTTCCATCGCCACAGCCACAACCATTGGTACCACCATTTCAAAAGAAGAAAATTTTAATTGCGTATGATAAATGCCCAAATTGTGAAGTCAAGGCAGTGTTTGAAGGCATTGCATTTACTTGCTCTCGTTCTTCAGCTTATTTTCAAAATCACAAGCACAAGCTCGATTTATCAGGTGGTATTAAAAGATCCAGAGTGAATGCTACAAAATCGTCATAATCCTTCAACACATTCTTAAAACCTAGTATCACCACTTCAAAAGGTTTTTGGATTAAGTTTTGAGCATTGTTAATTTGATTATTGGTTAATTTGAGGCGGTCAGTGGCGGATTAAAGATAACACGATATGAATTTCTAGTCTTCTCCAACGAGCCATTCACGCACTCACGTTACCTGAATTCGGCCGCCCTTCTTCTCTTCTTCTTCAGTAGGTAGTGGTGTAAGTGAGTTCCTGCTATGGGACTATGGTGGTGGTGTTAGTTGGTTCAATCTCTTGCTCTGTTTCAATGGTGAGAGTTTGTAGTTCAGTGGCTAGTGCAGTTTTTTTTAACTGATGGCACTGACATTAGGTGGGTGCAATGGCGTCGACCATTGCTGCTATTGTTGGTGGTTTGGAGGTAATGGGTTTGGAAAGGAGAGGATGGTGGGTTGTTTTTGGCTTTTTTTATTTAATTATTATATATTATAATTGTGTTTTTTTATTAAAAAAGGTAAAGTGACAATTTTATTCTTTTAAAAGTTAGTCAAAATTATGGTCAAAGTCAAATCTACGGTTAACTAATAGTCAAACTAACAGAAGCATTTATTTGAATTCCAAGTGAGAGTTTTTGAAATGTTTGGTTTTGTGGTTGGCACAAATGAAAGATTTGGGCAAAATCAGTGTTAAATGAAAGGTTTGGTACCATGACTGCAATTTTCCCTTTTTAAACATTACCAACTTTCACCCTAAAGGTTTTATTATTATTATTATTATTATTATTATTATTATTATTATTATTATTCTTTCTGAACGATGGATTCCTCAATTTACCACTTTTTAGTAAAA